GCAACAAAAATTAGAAAACAGAGATGAGCTACTTAATTTGAAGAAAGTTTTGCTCACCTTAATTAATTTGATAAAAGAAAACGCAAAATATAAAAAAATAACTTATCATTATCGTCACTTGTTCAATCGATGTGAGACAATATGTAGCACAAAAATGAGAGAGAGAGAGAGAGAGAGAGAGAGGAGAGAGACTGTACTAGTTCAGTTTTAATTTTGCTTCCTAACCGAAGCATAAACAAACTTAAGCGCAGTGCATGGTTGTAAAGCCGACTTAATTATAATTTAATTATATGGGAGGGAAGCGTCCCTTGTATGGCCACTGCAAGTAGAAGGGATTAAGTGGTTCTAGTGGTGCAACTTGTAAGTCCAATAACCACTCTACCCCTAATTAATACATTACCTTTGGTCTTTCCGTCAATGAATTATTTCATTTGAAGATAAGCCATCATGCTAATGGACAAACTAGAAAACCTTAAGAGTCATTTTGTTTTTGACTTTAAAATCATGTATTTTAAAAACTGAATTATGTATTTGAACTATAATGTTTTAGAGATAATTGATATAATATTTTTTTAACATATATTTTTAAGACATATTTTGAAACTATATTCTTTTACATATTGTTTTTAAGACAAATGATTATGTGAAAAAAATTAAAATATAAAAATTAATATGTATAAAATAATAAATTATGAAATTAATATAAGGACTAAAGTGACAAATTAAGAGATAAAAGACTGATATATATATATATATATATATATTATGTGTGTAGTAGTTGCACTCCTACAATAGTGAGAAAGAAAAAAGAATTTTTTTTATAAAAGTAAAATAAGTACGTCTAAAAGTTGTGCTTAATCTCAAGAGTAAATACTCTACTTTTTAAAATAATATTATTAAAATATAATTAAAAAATAATATTTCTAAAATTTTGATCTTAAAAATAGAGATATATGCCTTTAAAATTGTATAAGAATGACCCATTTATTATTTTAAATCATATATTTCACAATATCAAATTCAAATATTCCAGAGTTTTAATAATTTTTTCTATAGCACTCAACTTAGATCTCTAGTTATAATGTGTCTGTGAATTTCCATAGGTTGTCTCAATTATTTACACCTTAGTTAAAAAAAATAAAAATGCAACGTAATACTAATTCTTAATCAAGAAATCTCAAAAGCCTCGATGCTTTTGTTTTTGTCAAAAATGAAGACAAAACCCAAAAGCACGTGGGCCACGATCCATGATGCAAATGTAAAATAGCACTTATAATTGCTGATTATTATTATTATTATTATTATTATTATTATTATTATTATTATTATTATTATTGAGGTTAGTGTCATCTTCCACATCAGATAAGAAAAGGGTAGGTCCTGAACTTATAAGTATGGGCGCTACACATCTTAACAGGTTAACCTTTTGGAGAGAGGGTAATGGCTTGTGATAAGTGGTATTAAAGTCCGACCCAAACCCGACTCTGACGTTTTGTCAAGTGCCCGAGATAGGGTAGGCAGGAGGCCCATATGTGATAAGGACGTCATAGGATTTAGTGGGGAAGAATGTCACATTCTCACATCGGATAAAAAAAGAGTGAATCTGGACTTAAAACATTCTTATAAGTACGAGCGCTGCATACCTTAACAGGTTAATCTTTTGGAGAGAAAGTAATAACCTGTGACACTAGCTAGTAGATATATATAACTAAGTTGCCAAATTGACAGCTTGACAAGCCACTTTAATCAAATGTTAAATAGCACTTTTAATTGCTGATTATTATTATTGAGGCTAGCTGGTAGATATTTGTAGCTAAGTTGCCAACTTGACAGCTTAACAAGCCACTTGTCTTAAATAACTTCTCAACTTTTCCAGTAAAGTATGTATTTATTCATTTGTTGGGACTAGCTAGTATAAGTTGACCGCGTATACAACAAAAATGTACAAAAGACCCAAAAAATAACAGCTGGAGAGAGATCTTAGTTTATTCATTAATTTGCTTGCACGAGGGCAGTTTTCCAACCCCACAAGAAATAGAAGGAAAGGGACAATTAGGAGATACCTTATGAACGAAGCTGCAGAATTCGGAAACTGTGTGATAGACAATTGGCCAATCCCTCCTCCACCCTTGATATTTTCTTATTTTCGAAGCATATCCGATGGGCATATTCTTTTCATTTCTTTTTTTTTTTCTTTTTCCTCAAAAATCAGAAGATGTTTGGTTTAATGAGATTTTAAATTTTATAAACTAAAGCCAAGTTTTGGCTTTTTTGGCATATGAGAGTTTTTTCATTAAATAAATTAATTCTTAATTTTTTTCTTCAGAAAAAATTCAAATTTATATCTTATAAACCTTTGCCCTATGTTTGACAAGTCAGATTTAATAAAATTAGTTGAGATTTGGATTTCAAAATTTTATTTTTACTATTTGAATAAAAAATTAAAACGCAAAATTTGGGTTTTATGAGAGTTAATAAAATTGCATTTAATTTGTTAAAATCTCATGAAATATAATTAAAATTAATAGGATTTGATAGGATTTAGATTTGAATAAATTATTTTTTTAATTTAACCCCTCTCATTAGTATTTTTTATTAAATTAAAAAAAGAACAAAACAAATAATAAAATTATGGAGAACTTTGTTTCTTACATCAATGATTCCTCAACATATATACATATATATAATATATATTTTTAATTGATTTGGATTTATAATTTTTTCATTTTATTTCTTTGTTTTTTGCATTTACAAGCATCAATCTCTGTTATGCTCTTAAATTAAATAATTTTTATTTAATCTATTTTCTTTAATGTATTTTCCTCAACTTATAGTTGTTTTTCACATCATTAATTATGCACATGTAATATTAGATTTCTTACCCAATAAATCTCTTACAAAAACAATTTTTTAAAGGGTATAATAGTAAAAATTTTACTTTTAATTTTAAATCTCATTTATGTCCATACACCAAAGAGAATTTATAAATATCATATTTTATTTTTTGCTGATAAAATTTAGATTTAAAAGTTATGAAATTCTGAATTCAATTCCAAATTTAAATCCCTTTCTTTTCTTATACGAAATATAGGGTTAAATTTTTTAAAAAAAAATTATGAAAATTCTAATATCAATCACCTTCCTACTAATCTCAGTTTAACACGCATTGAGTGTCGCATGTGAGAACCAACTTGTGAGTTAACAAATGAATGGTAGCCAAGTAAGTCTTGCCCACAAAGCATCTCCTGATTTTGTGGCAACAATTATTAAATTAAGAGATTGGTAGGTCGGATGTTTGTCCTCTGGGATTCGTATCCAACGGTCTAAGGAGTCAACACGTTCTGAACCATCGTTCAAGCGGTCGTCTGCTCTCTATCTGCGCAAATTAATGCTAACGGTTACAGATTGGTCGCTTTAAAAAAAAAAACAAAAGAAATTACAGCCAACTAGTTAGATTGCTTGCAGCCAACATTATTTTTATCCCTTTTTTTTACTTATAATTAAAAAATACAAAAATTTAAAGTGAATATTGGGTATTTACAATTTTACAGAAATCACCCAATTAGATATTCAATCAATTAATAAGATAGTTAAATGTAATTGAATTAGATTTATTAATTATATAACATAATGTATTTGTATAATATTCAAATATAAATAATAAATCCAAAGAATATGATACAGTCATTTGGAATTTTTTTTTTCATGATAGGAATAAAACTCGCTTGAGTATTATACACAAAACTCAAATTTAAAATTTTAATAGTATCCATTATTTTAATTAACTAAACGTCAATAATTAGAGTTTTCATTTTAGTTTAAAGTAGCCAACATTTAAAAATCAATCAATTTGTCGGATTCAATCCAATTCAATTTAATTTATGTATAGAATGATATAATTACATAACCGAATCAATCTATCAATGATTCACAGTTAGAATTGGTTGAACGGCCGACGTTCTTTCATTTGAATAACTGATATCTGTGAACTTTCATCTCAGTTTCTAGTTGGTCCCTTCAGTTATAATTATTACAATTTAATCCTTAAATTTTGCGTGAAAATTTCTATTAAAGAGAATGATTAACTGCCGTCTAAATCATTAACGACAAATGAGTACTTGCACCGGCCACCCTTAAAACGACCTCCTTAAAAGCACCTGTTAGGTAAATCATTCTATTAAATGCATACAAAGAAAAGGACGCAATAAGAGAATAACGCCTTTAAAATAAGTTTTTAGGCACTTTATGGTAATCTCCTTGAGATTTATCAAAATAACGCTTAACTCCCCTTTCATTTAAAAAATAACGTAATTCCCCCTCCATTTTGGATATTGTAGCCCTTTTTAAATTGCCATTATAAAATGTGATGACGTCAAACATATTTCTGGGTAAACTTCTTAGAATGTCATAATCTTGGGGGAGATGGAAATTCACATGGAAAGCAGCTAAGGGCTTACCAGATCCCTTTCCCTTGGGTTCGCCCTATGATGGACATCTTTAAAGTGCCACTCTGCTATTAATAACTTAGGAACGTTCATTCAATACAGCCAACCATTGTATACATTCATGTTCGCTGACAGCGGAGTAATGTCCCTCACATATAACAGTGACGATTAAATAAACTGCCGAGCTGGGACATCCTCTCCCTCTCCCTCTCTCTCTCTCTCTCTCTCTATATATATATATATATATATCTCCAAATAATTTCTTAGTCTTAGCCACTAAGTTCCATTATTTAAAATCTTTCTGGGGGCGCTTCTTCACTTTCAGCTTGGCTGTAAGTCTGTGACATTACCCATATCGTCCTTCCACGAGATTCCCTCACCAAACCGAAAACAGAAAGGTAGCAGTGCCCAGGCTCTGCCACACACGCATATAACGATATTTTTCTTCGCTTTTCTCTCTCCTTGAACTTTTCTTGCCCCCTTCCCCTCTGAAAGTGAGGGAAAGAGAGTTACAGAGAAGGATATACTTCTCAGATCGCTCTTTATTTCTCATCCATGGATGAAGCCAAGAGTTACATTACACTTGAAGACCTAAGAACCCACAACAAACCAGGGGATCTGTGGATCTCCATACAGGGCAAGGTCTACGACGTCTCAGACTGGACCAAAGACCATCCCGGCGGCTCTCTTCCTCTTTTCACCCTCGCCGGCCAAGACGTAACCGACGCTTTTGTCGCCTACCACCCTGGCACAGCCTGGCAACACCTCAACAAATTCTTCAATGGACACTACCTAAAAGACTACGAAGTCTCAGAGGTCTCCAGAGACTACAGAAATCTCCACTCGAATTTCTCCAAAATGGGTTTGTTCGAGAAAAAGGGCCACGGCCTATTCATCTCCTTCTGCTTCATAGCAATATTGTTTTCAGTTAGCGTTTATGGCGTCTTGTGCTCTGAAAGCACTTGGGTTCACTTGCTCTCTGCTGGGTTAATAGGGTTTTTGTGGATTCAGAGTGGGTGGATTGGGCATGATTCGGGTCATTACCAGGTTATGCCGACCAAAGGGTTGAACCGATTTGCCCAGATTCTTACCGGAAACTGCCTTGCCGGAATCAGCATTGCGTGGTGGAATTGGAACCACACAGCTCACCACATTGCCTGCAATAGTCTAGATTTCGACCCAGATCTCCAGCACTTGCCTCTATTTGCGGTATCTTCTAAATTCTTCTCCTCCCTAACTTCATATTTCTATGAAAGGAAGATGAGTTTTGATCCTATTGCTAGATTCTTAGTCAGTTACCAACACTGGACATTTTACCCCGTTATGTGCTTCGCTAGAATCTATTTGTTTGCTCAGTCATTCATATTGTTGTGCTCTAAGAGAAAAGTGCCCAATAGGGGTCAGGAGATTGCAGGGTTAGTTGTGTTCTGGATTTGGTACTCTCTTCTAGTTTCCTTCCTGCCCAACTGGGGGGAAAGAATAATGTTTGTGATTGCTAGCTTTGTGGTTTCCGGGATTCAACATGTTCAATTTTGCTTGAACCATTTCTCTTCCAGTGTCTATGTTGGTCCACCAAGTGTCAATGACTGGCTTGAGCTGCAAACTCGTGGGACTTTGGACATTACGAGCCCGTCTTGGATGGATTGGTTCCATGGTGGGCTTCAGTTTCAGGTGGAGCACCACTTGTTTCCGAGGTTACCTCGGTGCCATCTGAGGAAGATCTCTCCAATTGTGAAGGAGCTCTGTAAGAAGCACAATTTGCCTTATAATAGTGCGCCATTTTGGAAGGCCAATGCATTGACAATGAGGACTCTTCGGAATGCTGCCTTGCAGGCTAGAGATCTCACTAGCCCAGTTCCGAGGAATTTGGTCTGGGAAGCTGTGCATACACACGGATGACGTTGAAAACCATACAAATAAGCTCTTGTTGAAATTGGTGTTTTGGTTATTGATAATCTTATCTCAATTCGTTCTACAATGAGAGAGAATTACCCATGTTCGTTGTCTGGAGGCTTCAATTCTTCATTCTTGATCTTTCTGTTAATAGGATAGCTCAGGTTCTCTTAAGATCTGGGGGTGACTGATAAGCCATTTGGATCAGGCATTGTAGATTTTAGTTCTGTCTTCTTGTTTTGGTCCAAATTAGATCTTCTTGTCCAATATGCCTTTGGTTTATGAATTGTAGATCCCTGCTCTTATTTACTTCGTTTCAACTGAACTTTCATTGGTTGCATAGGTTTGATGCCTTGTGTTCTTGTTGAATTCCACAGTAGTTGAAAGGTGCAGCCTCCTCTGTATCTTTCTTTTCTTGTTGCATTATCTATATGGATGTTGTCTTTCAACATTCCCCAACTTGTGCCTATGGTGTGGCTTTGTTTCCTTAATAAAAATGAAGTCTTCTGAATTGTGTTTCAATTCTGGGTTTTGATGCAAATTTGCAGCTATACATGAGGCAGTTAGGCTGGGATAGGATTAGTTCAGTAAGTACTACTAGCTATACTCTTGATTTCAGGTGATTTTGTGCACCAATTAGTGGAGGAAATAGTTTAAAACCAAGCTGCTCATTCATTGGTCATTCTTTATTAACAAGTTTACAGTGGATGCAAATTCAAATATGGCGTTTCATTGCTCAACAACATAGCAGAGACATAGAGATTGAATTGGCTGCACTTTGTTTAGTTATTTACTCAAAGATTTCATAATATTTACCAAAACACATCCATTGTGTTTTAACTCGGGACATTTTCCTTGCAGAATTGTTTAGAAACTCAGAGCAACGTTCCCTTAACACTCGTTTGGAAGAATGGGCTTGGGCCGTAAACCTCGAAAGTGCAGCGTCCCATTTTCTAGTTCTAGGCTTTTTAGGCTTAAAGTCACTGAAAAATCATACCACTAAATATGAATTTTATCCTCCAAACTAGCTTTTCCGTAATGTTTTTAACTAATAATTAAATATAATTAATATTTCTTGAAATAATACATATCTATGATTAGTGTGTGTGTATACATTTATATTATAGGCTTAAGTTAGGGATACAAGGGAACAATCTGTATAAATTTCTGAATATTTATGTCAGCAGAAGACTTATTGAACAATTTCCAAAGTCTAAAGAAGTTTACTAAATCAAAAAAATAAACATCGGACAAAGTTGTCAATTTATTACGGATTTAGAATATTCTTTTTTCTTCCTTTGTCAAATGAGGAACTTGAAAAATTAACCAGAAAAATTTAGTAATGGCGGGTGACTTTGGGAAGCAATTAGGCCAGCTATTGAAGCGAAATTACTCAATCTCAAGTTAGTAAGTTTTTTTGATTATCTGAAATTGAAGAGGTTCTTAGTTGACTCTGTACTGAGCTGAATTTTTTGAAATTTTTCTTTCAAAATTTTTATTCTTTCTGGAATTTAACAAATTTTTTTTCCCATTCTTCAATAGAAAAATCTCCTATTTATAAATGATGAGTTCTTGAAATTGCGGGATTTTTTAAGTGAAATAAATCTTTATAAAAGTGATAATTCCTTCAAGCTAATCTTTTTTTTTTTGAAATTAAAATCACAATAAACTTAATCTAAATTAAATCCTAGTAAATCTAAATCAAACAAAAAAATTAATGAAATTTTTTAAAAGATCCTCTCAAATCATAACTTCTTTTTTCTGAAGGGAATCAATTCTTGCTAGTTTTTAAGGCTGAAGGTGAGGAAACCGGCTTTGTCTAATTTTCCTTTGGAAGCTCATTGTTGTTATTTATCATTTTGTTTGTAGAATATTGTGCTGGTCAATGATATATTTGCAAAATTGATAAAGGTCCTTCGGTTGCCTTGTATTTAGATTTTGTTTTGTAATATTTATAATTAAGATTGATATTCTGAAATCAAAAATATGATCCGTATATTTTTAGGTGTAATAATGTCACGCCCCGACCCGGGCACGTGACCGGCACTAGGGTCCACTAACCCTGGTAAGCCTTGAAACATCCAAAATAGCAAACTCAACAATACATATATATAAATCATGATGTGCTGTCTCAATACACGAAGACCAAGTTTATCTGAGAGTTCAAGAGAGCTACTTCTAAAATATAAGGGATAGATACAAAAGGGAATATGCCCATACATCGATAAGCTGCAACCGCCTAACTCTAACTCTGGCGCGCTAACCGAGACAAGAACAGCAAATCAAATCTAAAAAAAATTATAAAAGGTAAGTCGCGAGACTTAGTGAGTACAAACGATACCTAGACTATACATGTTAGAGTATGCAACATGTCTCAATCAGATACTGCACATACACAAGTAATCCCATTGAGTAATAATATGTAAAATAAGCATGCCAAGTATCACCGTAACCAAATCATTATCATCACATCCACTGGGCCAGAATACTCCCCGCACGCTACGGCAGTACATCGCACGCCGGACGAGTTCTCGGTATCCCAAAAATCGTCCCAATATGGAAACCAAGGCACTCCCCGCACACTACGGCCCGCCGTCCGTCGGCTGAGCCTGCCATCCCAAACATGTAAGCGATGTGCACATCATACTCGCGGCCCCTGTCGCCTCAATAAGGACTTAGGCCGACTCACCACTGGATACTACGGGTTACCGTATGTCCAGCTGAGCTCTTTCCGTCCCAAATCACATCACATGATACAATCCTCACACATTGGTCACAAACAGGTATACATATGTATATACAGTTCATATTCCAAATCTCATCACAACATATCAATATAGCTTACTGATAGTACACAAGGACACATGACACATAATCCAGATACAGTTAAGAAGTCACATAATTATCATTCCAGTAAAACAATATGGAACACAAGCATAGAAGAGGCATCGTCACTCATTGTATAAAAGTCGGGTCAAGAAAAAAGTCCCAGTCACCCTCACCCGTCTCACCGGTCCGGGTGCACCTCTTCAAGCGTATCTGAAAAACCAATCCACACATAATCACAACCAACCTCAAACTCGGTACAAGAAACAGGCCCCGTAGCCTCAAACTGGGCTCAAATCCAAAATCGACACTGTGGCACGCATCTCGAGGCACTGAGACCGTCACTAGAACCTACGTGACTCTCAACACACATTAACCAGCTCGAATCCCTCAACAAAACAAGACTACTCTCCACAGTCTGCTAAACACAGCAAACTAGCCTCTAAAAACCCTTAAACCAGCCTAATCTGGCTTAAAACTACCTCAAGCTCAACTCAAACAACCATGAAACCCTCGAAAATGGATTCAAAAGGCCTAAAAACCTTAGGAACCAATCTGAACTGGCCAAAAATGACTCAAACCAACCCTGAATCGGCCAAGAATTCAAACCCTAATCGTTGGTACGCAAAATAAGGCCAGTTCACCTTGAACCGGACCTCCAAAAATCGTCAAACTTCACAGTTATCTAGGTTTCCATGTGTTGGACCAAGAACCTGTCCAAACTCTCCAAGAACCGGCCCAAAAACCTGTGAACCAGTCGCCCGAAGGAAATCCCATTAAACTGGCCGGTTCACCTCGAACCGGTCACCCAAAATTTCCCGAGCCCACTTGGTTTGATAGGTTTCATCCCCCGAATCCAGAACCGGTCAAAAAATCAAATTCCAAGTTGAATTGGCCACTGATCCGGCCGGTCAACCCTCTGGCCGATTCAGTCAAAACCCTTTTTTTTTTTTTTTTTTTTCAAGCTGGCTCGCAGCTTGGCTTGAGCTGCCAGCCCAACGGCTTGACTCGGGCCCGCGTGGGCCGGCCCAAACTCTCTTTTTTTTTTCTGGCCCGCGGGCCAAGCCCACGAGCCTGTGGTCCAGCCGGGCTACACCCGCCCAGCTGTCAACCCAGCCCACGACAGGACCCGGACCCTGTCCGGGTGCTTCCTTCTTCATCCGGAAACCTGGGCATCCCAACCCGGTTGTCTGCAACCCAAACCAGCCGAAAAACAAGATAAGAACAAGGAAAGGAAGCTTACCTCCACCGATCGACCACCCTCAACCACCGAACCAAGCCCGGCGACCCCCACGGTGATGATCAATCGAAGCGGAGTGGCGTGAATCGGCCTCAGAACCCAGAATCTTCACGTCCACCTCTCACGAGTTGGACGAAGCACAAAGCTCACAGTTTCTCGTCACTCTTTGCTCCCAAGCTGAAATTGGTTTAGGTGTTCGGTAGAGGCTCCAAGAACGCACGTCAAGGCGTTGAAAACAGGTTGAAATCATTGCCTATCGTAGGGAAATCGGCGGAAGGCAGCTTCGAACACTGTTCCTGTCAGACTTTTCAGAAATTTGACTTTAGTCTTTCAACTTTGTCCATCCTCAATTTCAGTCCTTAAGAAGAATTTTGATTCAATCCCCAAATTTTCCAATTCCCTCACTTTGCCCCCTAGTTGTTAAAAGTGGGTTATTACAAATAAAAGGCAAACAAAAATCCAATCACGCAAAAGAAATCCAATAGAATCAAACTCAAATCAAGAAATAGTTGTATGGTAAAAACTGAATAACCAATACAACTGTGAAGGCCAATGTGTCAATTATAACAATTCAAAAAACTCTTATCTAAATATTTTTAATAGAACCAAAAACACAAACCAGAATTTACTTCCGATGATTTGACAACAATTGTTAGACAATCTTGGAGCAGTTGTAAATTTATATCCTTCAAATGCACGCCGCTAGGCTATTTCGATTCGTTAATGTGTTAAGAAAATAGAATTTCTATTTTAAAGTATTTATCAAACATAATTTTTAAAAATTTTTATTCTTATTTTCATTTTATCAAAAGAATTCCATAATACTCCCTGCCACTTAGAAAAATAAAAGGAAAAGAAGCCAAAGACCCACTTTGTGCAGCCAGTTGATTTATAAGAAAAAAAATTTTTAAAAAAAGTGAGAGACACTGTTCACGCCAGA